GGGAGGCTGAGGCAGAAGAATTGCTTGAACCTGGGAGCTGGAGGTTGCAGTGAGCCAAAATCACGCCACTGCACTCCAGCCTGGGCAACAGAGTGGGACTCCGTTAAAAAAAAAAAAAAAGAAAAAGAAAAAGAAAAGAAAATCATGGCTGGGTACAGCGGCTCATACCTGTAATCCCATGGGAGGCTGAAGTGGGAGAAGTGATTGAGCCCAGGAGTTTGAGACCAGCCTAAGCAACATAGTGAGACCCCATCTCTACAAAAAAATTAAAAATTAGCCAGACATGGTATTGCATACCTGAAATCTGAGCTACCCCAGAGGCTGGGGCAGGAGGATCACTTGAGGTAAGCAGTTCAGGGCTGCAGTGAGCTATGACAGTACCACTGCACTCCAGCGTGGGTGACACAGCAAGACTCTGTCTCAAAAAATAAAAGAAAAAGAAAATCATGAAAGAATATACACTTACTCTTAACTAAGTTGAAGTGAATCGCTATAAAGGTCTTCATCCTTGTCTCCATATTGAGTAGGTGAGGAAGAGGAGGAGGTGGAGGAAGAAGGGCTGATCTTGTTGTTTCAGGGGTAGCAGAAGTGGAAGGGGAGGCAGGAGAGGCAGGCAAACTTAGTGTAAGTTTTGTTGAAAAAAAATCCACATGTAAGTGGACGCATGCAGTTCAAACCCTTGTTGTTCAAAGGCCAAGTAAAGTAGAAGCAGGAATCAGCCCCAGGTGGTCCAGCTCCAGAGCCCCACCACTGTCCCCCCCCCCCAGCATGGCTTTGACTGGAGAAATCGTGGCTATTGGGTAGTGGCTTTTGAGTCGTCACAGAGGGCAGAGGTGAGGACTTTTCTCTGGAAAGGGCACTATTACAGCAGCTCTCCATTTGCAGACCAAACCCTGGTAACGGACAGAATGCAAGACAAACAGGAAGCAAGTGCTTTTGAGAGCACTGGCAAGGAGGGCAAGAATCAGTAAAGAGCCTCCACCCACCACTTCTCCCCTGGAACACCCTGAGACCAGGGTACAAACCGAAGAGCCCAGGCACAGGTATGTGGGCTAGGAAGGAGAGCTGCTGGCAAGGCTGTGCGGACAGACTTCCCAAACGATGGCTCATGTTTGCTGTTCCAGGTTCAATTGTGAATCAGACACAATGACTGTTATTTAACGTTACTAATGCTCCAAATGCATGTGACTTAGCTGTGAAAGGTTTGGTTAAACTGTCCTACTGGCACCAAGAACAAAGCAAACCAACAAGTATTTACTGAGGGGATGGGAGTTTTTTAAAAAAGAAAAAGTATATTTTTGCTGAGTTACTATTCTGAGGAAAGCATTGTGCTCTTCTGCATTTGATTTGGGCAAAGGACACAGATAACCAGGCTTTCTGAGAGCTCAATGGAAGAAGCCTTATCACCCTTCTGCTCTCACGCATCCAAGGCCTATGTCCCATTTTCAATAAGTCAGAAGACAGAGTGAGGCTGTTCTTTCTGGCGCTGAATACATGGCCAAAGAGATCATTATAGGGTATCTGGTCAAAGGCTCCTGTGCTGGAATTTTAGCTCCTCCAAACTTCAAGTTTAAGTAAAAATAATCCAAACTGGCAAAATGGCTTAATGAAAATCATTTGTTCTGCATATGCGCAACTGAACAAAGTTTTTGTTTTTGTTTTGAGACAGAGTCATTCTGTGGCCCAGGCTGGAGTGCAGTGGTGCAATCCTGGCTCCCTGCAACTTCCGCCTCCTGGGTTCAAGTGGTTCAAGTGATTCTCCTGTCTAACCCTCCAAAGTAGCTGGGATTAAAGGTGCCCACCACAATGCCCAGCTAATTTTTGTATTTTTCAAAGAGACAGGGTTTTGCCATGTTGGCCAAGTTGGTCTTGAACTGCTGGCCTTAAGTGATCCCCCAGCCTCCCAAAGTGCTGGGATTATAAGTGTGAACCATCAGGCCTGGCCTGAACAAAGTTTGTTTGTTTGAGACAGAGTTTCGCTCCTGTTGCTCAGGCTGGAGTACAATGGTGTGATCTTGGCTCACCACAACTTCTGCCTCCCAGGTTCAAGGGATTCTCCTGCCTCAGCCTCCCAAGTAGCTGGGATTACAGGCAAGCGTCACCACACCTGGCTAATTTTTGTATTTTTAGTAGAGACAGGATTTCACAATGTTGGTGAGGCTGGTTTTGAACTTCTAACCTCGTGATCCGCCTGCCTCAGCCTCCTAAAGTGCTGGGATTACAGGAGTGAGCCACCGTGCCCTGCCCTGAACAAAGTTTTTAACTTGGGCTGATTAGCAGGTTTCTGAAACAGTCATAAGTAGAACGTAAAGCCAGTCCAACTCTGAAAAATGGACATTTCACAACCAATCTTGTCTGTAGCTTAGACTCTAAAACCGCCCTCAGGCCCACAGCCTTGTCCTCACACCCAGAATAATTCTACTCCTGACCCAATACAGCTTCAACAAAAAGGGAGGGGTGGGCACCTACCTACTCCACACTACACCATGCCAGGTGGGCACTTGGCATTGCTCATCACAGGTAATCCTCCCAACTGTTCTGTAAAGCAGTCATATCCATCTCTGCTTCCAAGAGGAAAATAACCGAGGCTTAGACAGAAGTCATTTGTCCATGGCCATGTGGCTTGTTCAGCAACTGAGGAGGGACTCCCCCAGGTCTGTTTCCCTTGCTCACAAAGTCACTGCTGCCCCATGACCCCCACTTCCCTAAAGAAACCACTGTGGTTTTGTTTTTTGCTTCTTTTTGAGACAGGGTCTCTCTCTGTCACCCAGGCTGGAGTGCAGTGGCACAATCATGGCTCACTGCAGCCTTGATCTCCTGGGCTCAAGCGACCCTCCCACTGCAGCCTCCTGAGTAGCTGGGACTACAGGTGCACTACCATCCAGCTAATTTTTCTTTTTTGAGATGGAGTCTCTCTCTGTTGCCCAGGCTGGAGTGCAATGGCTCAATCTCTGCTCACTGCAACCTCCACCTGGGTTCCAACGATTCTTCTGCCTCAGCCTCCTGAGTAGCTGGGATTACAGGCACCTGCCATCGCACCTAATTTTTGTATATATATATTTTTAAGACAGAGTCTCGCTCTGTTGCCAGGCTGGAGTGCAGTGGCACAATCTAGGCTCACTGCAACCTCCGCCTCCTGGGTTCAAGTGATTTTTCTTCTGCCTCAGCCTCCTGAGTAGCTGGGACTACAGGTGCATACCACCATGCCTGGCCAATTTTTGTATTTTGAGTAGAGATGGGGTTTCACCATATTGGTCAGGATGTTCTCAAACTCCTGATCTTGCGATCTGCCCACTTCAGCCTCCCAAAGTGCTGGGATTACAGGTGTGAGGCATCGAGTCCAGCCTTAGTAGAGAAGGGGTTTCACCGTCTTGGCCAGGCTGGTCTTGAACTCCTGACCTTGTGATCCACCCGCCTCAGCCTACCAAAGTGCTTGGATTACAAGCGTGAACCATTGCACCCAGCCTAATTTTTCTTTGAAAAAATGGAACACTTCATGAATTTCCATGTCATCCTTGCACAGGTGCCATGCAAATTCTTTCTGTATCGGTCCAATGTTAGTATTTGTGTGCTGCTGGAGAGAGCACAGCAGGCTAATTTTTTAGAGTTTGTAGAGATAAGGTCTCACTCTGTTGCCCAGCCTGGGCCACTGTTCCACATCATACCTTTATTTTTTCTTTTTTCCCCCAAAATGCTCTCTAATATCTCAGCCTTTGAAGTCTTAATCAGGTAGTAACATGTTCTTATGGGGTTTACTTCTTTGTAGGGCTCACAAACTATGGAAATCAGCTAACTGCTTCTCCCAACATTTATTCCTCCACTAAGAGACTGGGCAAGGTCATGCCATTATTCCCACTTTAGTGATAGGAGACAAAGGTAGAGAAAGGCTGCTGTGGTGGAGGATGAAGAGGAGAACATAATGGCTCCCACCTCCAGGACAGCACTGTTTAATGCTGCAAGTTGGCAATGTAGCTAACCTCACAGCTTGCAATTAAGCACGACAGAGAACATGTTTGCAATGCTCCTGCAGTATTTGTGACACATCATTTACCCTCTGGTTATCCAGGGGGAAAAACCCTCTCTGGGGAGTGTCAGCACATGAACACCAAGTTCTGGAGGCTTAACCTGCTGGTCTCACTTCTTACCAGCGTCACTTGCCTGTTAGGGTAGTTGCTCCGGGCTCGGAGATGAGTGGAGTAGGCATTATTCATTTAGAATAACGATAGCTAAAAAAAGAAAAGCTAAATCTTTACTTCCTCTTACTACAGCCCATCTTTGTCATAAACACGTGTTATAACCTTCCACTGTCGTTATCATTAATCATCATCTAATACTTTGAGAATGGGTTTTTCTTCCCAGCAATAATGTCATATTAGCCATGAGACTACAAATACATGACTCTAAGCCATCAAATCTCCCCATGGCCAAATTAGCAGGTTTTTAAAAAAGCTTCATATAT